CTAAAAACAAGATGCACCCTTATCATATTCAAAAGCACCAAGAATTAATTAATGATGATTTTCAGAAACGAATAGTATTTTGTGAATGGGCCTTAGAAAAAAATTAATGAGCAGAGAGATTTTTTTGATTATGTCCTATTTGGTGATGAAGCTACATTCCATCGAAACGGTTCTTTTAATAGGCATAACTTTCACTACTACTCAACAAGTAATCCATACCACATAGTAACACATAGTCAAACAAGATGGTCTCTAAATGTGTGGGGAGGTATCGCCGGTAACCATTTAGTAGGGCCATATTTTTTTGAAGATAATTTAAATGGTGAGATTTATTTAGATTTTATCGTAAATCAGTTACCGATATTATTAGAAGAGGTTCCACTTAATATACGTAAAAAAATATGGTTTCTACATGACGGTGCTCCTGCGCACCACAACGAATTAGTACGTGGTGAGCTTAATAATCAGTTTGGGGAAAGATGGATCGGAAGGGATGGACCGGTAAGGTGGCCCCCAAGGTCACCAGAATTCAATAAAATGGACTCATTTTTTTGGGGTTACGTTAAGAACGAAGTATATAAAATACTCCCAACAACAAGGGATGATATGAAAAATAGAATCCGAATTGCATTTCAAAATATTTCTTTACAAATGCTTAGTAATGTAACCAACTCTTTCAATGACCGTTTTCAAGCATGCATAGATGTTTTGGGAGGTCATTTTGAACACCTTACTTAAGTAAGATAAGTTAAACTTACTATTGTTTTTAATTTTTCTATGTGCTGTTATATTTTTTTTTATTTTCCGTCGGTTATTTTTTATAAATTTTATTTTTAATAAATTGTTTTCTTTTCTGTGTCGTTATTTCGTTACCAAATTATTAAACAATAATGTCTAACTGTCAGTTTTTGACAAATCAATCATAACCAACTAACAAAAATTATATTGTGAGTTGGTAAACGTTAAAATATCTACCAAATTAATACTTTGATGGAAAAACAATAATATCTAGAAAACTGATAACTTTAGGTATAGGGAGTACTTTATAAAATTTGAAGTACGATATTATTACTTTTTGATTGTGATATAAAATACAGGGTGTTCTATTTAAAATTACCAAGAAAATAATGTATTTGCATTTTGACTTACCCTGTATTTGATTTAACGAATATTATGGAAACGAATATGTTTTATAATTTTTAACAATTATTTAAAAACTATGGTTGCAATAGATCAATGTTTCTAAACTCCTTTTTAATTGAACAGGGAGTTAAACTTGATACGATTTTCAGGTAATATTGGTTATAACTTTTTAGATACCCGGTATAACATAATAAAACTTTACATTGTTGTGATCTGGAAGTGAAGCCGATTTTAAATTTAAAATAAAATACAGGGTGTTCCATTTAAAAAAAACATAAGTTTGGTCTGCCACCATCTTATGGAATACCCTGTAAGATTGTAACTAATTTTAAAATGTGGAGTTTAAAGCTGCCTACAATTTTTGTTAATAACTTTTTTTAGTAACTTTTACTATAACAGATCTACTGAGCTTCCTCACACTAATCAATCATCCTGTATATATATATACATATTTATTTATATATATATATATATATATATATATATATATATATATATATATATTATATCGGATTTATGACGTCTTGGGACGTTGTCCAATGCCTAATTTCCATGATACTCTATCATTCCATTGGCCCTCTCTAAGATCTCTTACGCTCATCGCCTTCGTTACTCCCTCTCTGCAAGATTTCTTGGGTCTTCCTCTCTTTCTGTGGTTTGGTGATACCCATTGCATAATTATTTTTGGGAGTCTTGAGTTATCCAACCTCTGGACATGTCCGTAACATAAAGCTGGTGTTATTCCTTTCTTTTTTATGTATTTGGCTATTTTTGTTGATATTTTGCCTGTATTTGTAATCGAGCAGAAGGTACTGGGTTTTTTCTCTGGTGGTGGAAATACTAATTTCAGGACTGTCTTGTGTAGTTTTTGATTTAACATTTTATTTATTGTTTGTTCGTTGTATCCGTTGTTTACTGCTATTTGCTTAATGATATTTAATTCTGTCTTAAAGTTGTATTTTGACGGAATTTCTGTTAATCTATGTAACATACTATAATAGGCTGCCAGTTTATGTTGTGTAGGATGGGATGGTGAATTGTGTATAGTCGTGTCAGTATGGATAGGTTTATGAAATATGGAGAAGTCATGTGTGTTTCTAAGTCTGCTAATTTCTAAACCTAAAAAATTTATGAATTGATTTTGTTCTGTTTCTATTGTAAATTCAATATGACTATTTAGTGAATTAATATACGATAAAAATTGGTCGAGTTTCTGCCAAACATACCAGTACGTCGTCTACGTATTTCCACCAATATAAAAACTGTTTAAATATTTGATGTTTTGAAATCTTTGTGTCTAAATGATCTATAAAAATATCTGATAGCAATGGGCTTATAGGATTGCCCATTATAAGTCCTGCACTGTTATTTGTATATATTTGTATATATTTATGCAAACTTCAAGAGGATGTAAAATTTCAGATGAAATTATTGGATTTGTACTATTTTGGTCTAAAAGGTTCTTTACTAGAATAAAAGTTTCTGTAGGAGGGATACTAGAACAAAGATTTTTTATGTCAAATGAAATTAATCTGAGTTGTTAGGTAATTGAAAATGTTGGATTTTATTAACTAGTTCTATTGTATTTTTTATGGTAAATTTAGGTAAAAATTTAGTGTGTTCTAAAATAATCTCTAACAGTTTATATGACAGAGCTGTATAAAAAGAAACTGCAGGTCTTATTGGGTAATCGGGTTTGTGTAGTTTTTTAATAAAAGAGTATAATTTAGGAGGCTGTGGGTTCATGATATTAAGGTATTTGTGTTCTATTGGATTTACTATTGATTTTGAATTTTGACCCATTTAAGTTTTTGGGCAGTTGCCACATTTAATAAACGAGTAGCAGAATATAAAAGGGCTACCAATAATAGAAAAACAGATTCTACATACGCACTTCACCTTCTAGATCATAATCATCCTTTTAGTGAAGAATTTAAAATTCTTCACATACAAAATAAAGGCCTTCAGCTGTCTTTGTTAGAATCTATGGAAATCAACAAATTAAAAAACACAGATATAATTCTGAATGACCAACTTTAGACAAACAGTTCTCCTCTCCTCAACCTATTTCATCAGAGGCTATAAAGTGTAAACGAATCCCGAAAATAGATCACTTGAGAAAGGCAATCAGCCGAAACAGCTGTAGTAATAAGAATTTAATATAAATTTTGTGGAAGTTTGAAAACAAAGTTTTCAGTGGTATATATATGCTTTCTGTAATTTTCCGGGTTTGACTCCGCGTAGAATAATTTTGGTTTTGACAAAAACCATTATTTTGACAACGTTTCGGTAATGTCGCACTTGCCATTGCCATGCGCTTAGGTTTTAAACGTAAAATACGCTTATAGAGAAGCGCTTCTACCTGACTTGACAATGACAAGTGCAACCTTGCCGAAACGTCAAAATAATGGTTTGTATCAAAACCAAAATTATTCAACGCGGAGTCATACCCGAAAAACTGCATGAAGCACATATGTCCCGCCGAAATTTCAAGTAAAACAATATGGATCGTTTGCCCTCTTTGCAAGTTATGCCGATACTTTCTACCTTTGTTTTACTATAAACTAACATTAATATTTTCTTATAACAACTTAATTAAACAAACTTTATACAATTTTATTAACGATTCTGCTTCAAAAATTTTGTGTAGGATTGTTTAAAATCACGCATTGGATTCTCGTGTAGAACTCGTTCGCTTACCTCCTGCTCTTGATCTGCCCCCAAAACCTAACATACATCTCTCGTACTGGAACAAATTCCTTTACGCTCTGGATTCTGAGTCCTTCCAATGCAAGTATAAATTGGTAGTACTTACAGATGCTGTTGCTATCAAACCAACTACCCTCGTCTCAGTCAGCTTACAAACAACCAGAAGTATTTCCACTTTATCTTATTCGAAGACTTTCGAAAAATAAGATTATTTTCTTTCTTAACACAAACTTAATAACTTAATAACCGGTCGATATAAACTCTCTGGACTTCGATCCTATTAGTTTAACGGCACAGGAACATAGATTTTATTATTGAGTTAATGCCTCGACAACTAAGATCATTGGCATGGTACAGTCAGGTGCCTAGTGTAGTGTGTGTGTGTGTGTAGAGTAATTGTCTTGATACTTAGCAAAGTCGACGTCATTGTCTTTGCTAAGAGACGCTAATTGTATCCGACGTCTGCGGTCCCTCCGGTGAGTACCGATCGCACAAGGATAGAAATTATTTTCACTTATTAATTGTTTAATAAACGAAAATTTCTCCACCCAGATGAGATTCGAACTCACGACCTTTAGGTTTAAAGGTAGGCGCTCTTACCACTGAGCCTCAGAGGGGTAAGGAACATAGATTTTTCAAGGAATCAACAAAACCGCTTTGCATAAATTAAAACTGTGTCTCCTTGGCAGCTCTCTACAACAATCAGGTAGCGAATCATTTTGATTTTTCAAACCATTGTTAACCTTACTTGGTTAGTAGAAATCAATTTGAAACGAAATCATTCTTATCCTACTTAAATAAACTTTCTAGCTAATGTCTTAATACATATTTTAATTTTAATCTAATATATGTTTTTTGTACACATAAACCATTTTCACCGTAAAGAATCTTTTAATATGCACTTATTACTTGCTTACATCTAGAAACAGCAGATATACAATCTTTGTCAAAACTTTCTTCTTCTCTGGATTTCAAAAACTTAAGAAATATTATATTTGTGAATGTTTACCTTTGCTCTATACTATGTAGTATATTAATACACAACCATTGTTTATGAAATAATTTTACGTATATGGATAACATGGATTTACATCTGTTATGTAACAATTCATTCCATATATGGTTTAAACATTTAGTTCAAATTTTAGGGAAAATCTTAATGGTACTAAATTGAAAACCGTCCATGACCTACCTGAAAGTTTTACTAAATCAAAGCGGAATATATTTTGTACTCACGGCTGGATGAATAGTGGTGCTTCTCCAGTTTGTCAAATGATTAAGAAAAAATTGCTTGAACATACTGATAGCAACATCTTTATTGTTGATTGGGGCCCGGTAGCAAGTAAGCATAGTATATTTATTTATATTTTTAAGTCAAATGTTATTGACGGATTCGACCGTTACTTGATAGAAATTCATTTTATGTAACAATAAAACACTGAAAACTTTGTTTTCAAACTTCCACAAAATTTATTTTAAATCTTATCACTACAGCTGTTTCGGCTAATTGCCTTTCTCAAGTGATCTATTTTTGGCTTGGGTTTACAAATTTATAGTCTCTAATGAAATAGGTTGAGGAGGGAGAACTGTTTGTCTCAAGTTGGTCATTCAGAATTATATCTGTGTTTTTTAATTTGTTGATTTCCATAGATTCTAACAAAGATAGCTTAAGGCCTTTATTTTGAATGTGAAGAATATTAAATTTGCCATTAAAAGAATGATTATGATCTAGAAGGTGAAGTGCGTATGTCGAATCTGTTTTTCTATTTTTGAAAGCCCTTTTATGTTCTGCTATTCGTTTATCAAAGTTTCTACCAGTTTGACCGATGTAAGTTTTTGGGCAGTCGCCACATTGAAGTTTGTACACACCAGTATTTAAGTGTTTTTTATTTTTCTCTTGTTATTTTAAACATATTTGCCTAGGTTGTTATTTGTTCGGAAAGCTGGTGTCGTGGTGTCATTCCTTTCTTTTTTATGTGTTTGGCAATTTTTGTTGTTATTTTGCCTGTATAATATGTAATCGAGCAGAAGGTACTGGGTTTTTTCTCTGGTGGTGGAAATACTAATTTCAGGGCTTTCTTGTGTAGTTTTTGATTTAACATTTTATTGTTTGTTCGTTGTATCTGTTGTTTACTGCTATTTGCTTAATTATATTTAATTCTGTCTCAAAGTTGTATTTTGACATCAGAATTTCTGTTAATCTATGTAACATACTATGATAAGCTGCCAGTTTATGTTGTGTTGGATGGGATAATGAATTGTGTATAGTCATGTCAGTATGGGTAGGTTTATGAAATATGGAGAAGTCATGTTTGTTTTGAAGTCTGCTAATTTTTAAATCTAAAAAATTTATGGATTGATTTTGTTCTGTTTCTATTGTAAATTCAATATGACTATGAAGTGAATTAATATAAAATAAAAATTGGTCCAGTTGCCTCTTAGTTCCTGTGTAACATACCAGTACGTAGTCTACGTATATCCACCAATATAAAAACTGTTTGAATACGGGATTTTTTGAAATATTTGTCTCTAGATGATCCATAAAAATATCTGATAGAAATGGGCTTAGAGGATTACCCATTATAAGTTATTTGTATATATTTTATTATTAAATTTAAAGTAGTCCTAGTTTATGCAAACTTCAAGAAGATGTAAAATTTCAGATGTAATTATTGGATTTGTACTATTTTGGTCTAAAAGGTTTTTTACTAGAATAAAAGTTTCTGTAGGAGGGATAATAGGAAAAAGATTTTTTATGTCAAATGAAATTAATCCGGAGTTGTTGGGTAATTGAAAATGTTGTATTTTATTAACTAGTTCTATTGTATTTTTTATGGTAAATTTAGGTGAAAATTTAGTGTGTTCTAAAATAATATCTAACAGTTTTTTTGAAAGTTTATATGACGGAGCTGTATAAAAAGAAACTACAGGTCTTATTGGGTGATCCGGTTTGTGTAGTTTAATGAAAGAGTATAATTTAGGAGGCTGTGAGTTCATGATATTGAGGTATTTCTGTTCTATTGGATTTAGTATTGCTTTTGAATTTTCTTACGCTAGCTTAATTTGTTTTTGATATTTTTCTGTCGGATCTTTGTGTAAAGTTTCAATATTTTGATTATTTAAGAATTCTATTGTTTTGTTATTATATTATATTTTATCTATAGCAATACTAGTGTTACCTTTGTCTGCTTTTGTAAATACAATGTTGTTTTCTATTGATTTATTTTTAATTGAAATTGCTGTTTTATTCTCTTTGTAACAGGAATTCTTAGTTTCACTACACACATCTGTAATAGATTTGGCAATTATACTTTTTTTGATATTGTTAGCAGTTTTGTTTAACGCTACTTCACATTCTACATCTAAATATTCTAAAGTTCTCTCATGATTATGTTGGGGCAAGTTGTGTTTAAATCCTTTCTCTAAAAGTTGTATCTCGCTGTTACTAAATTTAGTATCTGTTAAATTTATAAATCTAGTGAAAAAAGTATGGTTAGAAAAACTTTTTGTATAATGAATATTAGGTTTTTTACTGTTGGAAATTAGTACAATATTCATTCATTATATTCGGTAGAAACTTTGATAAACGAATAGCAGAACATAAAAGGGCTTTCAAAAATAGAAAAACAGATTCGACATACGCACTTTACCTTCTAAATCATAATCATTATTTTAATGGCAAATTTAAAATTCTTCACATTCAAAATAAAGGCATTTAGCTATCTTTGTTAGAATCTATGGAAATCAACAAATTAAAAAACACAGATGTAATTCTGAATGACCAACTTGAGACAAACAGTTCTCCCCTCCCCAACCTATTTCATTAGAGACTATAAATTTGTAAACCCAAGCCAAAAATAGATCACTTGAGAAAGGCAATTAGCCGAAACAGCTGTAGTGATAAGATTTAAAATAAATTTTGTGGAAGTTTGAAAACAAAGTTTTCAGTGTTTTATTGTTACATAAAATGTGGGCGGCCGGGGAGAATCTAGACGGTTCGAGGAGTCTGTAACACCGAAATGGTAGCGTCCGTCACTGTTGAAATTCACATACATTCACACTGAGCAAAGTGAGACAAGCCGACTCTCGAAAGCCGAGGCGCCTCCACTCACGAGCACACCCGTCCACGAAATTTCAGTGCAATACACTGGTTACGAGGACGGGTTAAGCTCGAGACTGCACAGGACCAATGGTCACTAGAGACCCGGCCTTGTCGTTCCTAGCTCAAAAACATACAAAGGACAATCTGAAAAGACAAACTCTTACAACAAACCCTTCTCTCTGATTCTCTGGCTCTCCGAAGTCAACTCCTCCAGGTGAAAAAGGTGCCACAACACCAGAAGAAGACGGAGAAGATCTTTGCGCCGGTGGTTTCCGGTCGTTTGCCTTTGTACGAACATCAATAAAACATTCAACTCTAGTCTGAAGAGGGTCAACCGACCCTAAACGGGCACAAATCATTCTTCCCTTCCCAAAAATAGATCACTTGAGAAAGGCAATTAGCCGAAACAACTGTAGTGATAAGATTTAAAATAAATTTTGTGGAAGTTTGAAAACAAAGTTTTCAGTGTTTTGTTGTTACATCAAATGTTATTATTTTTATCTTAATCTAGACTAATAAGAATTTTATTTTATAACGTTTCTCTGATACTATTATGGCGTAACAAAAGTGGATTACAAAAATGTCAAAACATGCTATCACTTTGCGTTGTTTACAAAACTATTTGTACAAAGCTCAGCCCAAGTAATAAGTTCTCTACTTTAAAGATGATTTTTTATACCTTGCTTTCTTCGTTAAGATCTTATATATTCAGTGGATAATTAGGGCTACATCATATCTGGTTATTATACAACTCCAATAGTAATTGATCTATCTTAGATTGCAGTTGTCTTTTAGTAACAACTGCTGAATTTAACATAATAATCGGGTCGTCTAACTTCCAATCGTCGCTGCACTTGGTCTAAACAGTGCTTCCTCTCCCCACTCTTCTCTTTCCTCACTCTCTTTCTCTCTTGAATTTTCCATTGGACTTTTTTTGTTCACAACTTTTATGGAGTCTAAGTCATTAAAAAAGAAAAAAAATTGTTTACGGACTCTGGACTTACACTAGAGAAACATGAAGCATATCACTACTGCTTAATATAAGATGGATTATATTGTCTTTCCTTATTTAAATTTTTTATTCCAGAAATAGTAACCTACCCAATTCCTGCAGCTGGTGTTAGAGTCATGGCATTATTCTACTCAGATTTTGTTAATGATCTAATTGAAAAGATTGGAGTACGTATTGGCAATATTCACCTTATAGGTCACAGTCTTGGAGCACATCTTTCAGGTTTCACTGGACGTCTTATCAATAGGGGAAAACTTTCTAGAATAACAGGTATGTATTAATACAAGGTTGAATGCTCGAATTACCAAAGAATATCAAAGGTATGTATTAATCTTCTTAAAGCATCACGTATTAATATTAAAAAATCTTTAGAAATAAATATTGATTTATTTAAGAATTCTATTAATTAGGCCAATGAAATAAACAAATAAATGTTTTTTTTTATTTAAACACAAAACTACATCAACCCCGCAGGGTTATTAGTGGCTATAAAAAATAAAAGAAATATTCAATTAATAGAATTGTTTAACTCCTTTATGAGAACTGTTTTGTGATCATCATCTGTGATTCCGTTGGATCTTCTTTCTTCCGTGAATTGCGGATCAAGCAGGCTATATTTAATGGTCAGTGGATCAGAGTAGCTGGAGTAGATTGGTAATGGTAAAGTATTTGTAAATAAAATGTTGCATATACTAATATATTTTTAATATGTAATATTCAATGCTGCAGTTTCGAGATTAGTATTTAATGTAATTGGCTTAGCTTACAGGTCTGTTCTTACAAACAGCTACATAAAGATAGTTACTCCGCCACTGGCCTCTATTATTCTGTTTTTGGAAACATTGATAATTTCAAAGATTTATATTGGCTTATTTAAAATGAGTTTCTTAAGGACGTAAAATCTTAAAGCCTAATTTATTTATTAAAAGTTTTAACTGTTCTAAATCGGAGGGACCGCAGACGTTCGGATACAATTAGCGTCTCTTAGCAAAGACAATGACGTCGACTTTGCTAAGTATCAAGACAATTATTCTACACACACACACACACACACACACACACACACACCACACACACACACACACACACACACACACACACACACACACACACACACACACACACACACACACACACACACACACACACACACACACACACACACACACACACACACACACACACACACACACACACACACACACACACACACACACACACACACACACACACACACACACAACACACACACACACACACACACACACACACACACACACACACACACCACACACACACACACACACACACACACACACACACACACACACACACACACACACACACACACACACACACACACACACACACACACACACACACACACACACACACACACACACACACACACACACACACACACACACACACACACACACACACACACACACACACACACCCACACACACACACACACACACACACACACACACACACACACACACACACACACACACACACACACACACACACACACACACACACACACACACACACACACACACACACACACACACACACACACACACACACACACACACACACACACACACACACACACACACACACACACACACACACACACACACACACACACACACACACACACACACACACACACACACACACACACACACACACACACACACACACACACACACACACACACACACACACACACACACACACACACACACACACACACACACACACACACACACACACACACACACACACACACACCACACACACACACACACACACACACACACACACACACACACCACACACACACACACACACACACACACACACACACACACACACACACACACACACACACACACACACACAACACACACACACACACACACACACACACACACACACACACACACACACACACACACACACACACACACACACACCACACACACACACACACACACACACACACACACACACACACACACACACACACACACACACACACACACACACACACACACACACACACACACACACACACACACACACACACACACACACACACACACACACACACACACACACACACACACACACACACACACACACACACACACACACACACACACACACACACACACACACACACACACACACACACACACACACACACACACACACACACACACACACACACACACACACACCACACACACACACACACACACACACACACACACACACACACACACACACACACACACACACACACCACACACACACACACACACACACACCACACACACACACACACACACACACACACACACACACACACACAACACACACACACACACACACACACACACACACACACACACACACACACACACACACACACACACACACACACACACACACACACACACACACACACACACACACACACACACACACACACACACACACACACACACACACACACACACACACACACACACACACACACACACACACACACACACACACACACACACACACACACACACACACACACACACACACACACACACACACACACACACACACACACACACACACCACACACACACACACACACACACACACACACACACACACACACACACACAACACACACACACACACACACACACACACACACACACACACACACACACACACACACACACACACACACACA